TTGGCGAATCCTAAACTCCAAATAATAAAAGTGAATAATGTAAGAACTGAAAATAAATAAAACAACAAAACATAACAAAAGTATATCTGTGGACTTTTGACAAAACTACTTCCTTGCTTTCTGTAGGTTGGAATTTAGAGTTAATTTTAAGGAGCTTCCAAATAGAATTTTTAAATTTTTATTTAACTTTCATTAAGATAGCATCTTAAACTACTCCTATAAACGATTAAAAATGTCATACGAGAACTCAGTTAATTGTTGCTTTGAATAGAAAATTATCTCAATCGGGAGAAGTTGTTTTGTCAAATGTTCACAGATACGTTTAATGATGAATGGTATTTAACAGAGATAATACCTTGAAAAAGTTTACAAGAAGTAATCTCGTTTACCCTTAGAACCGTGAGTTGGGCACTCAGTGCCCATAATCATGTTTGATGTTGAATTTCGGGGGTTTGGGAAGTCCAATTTAGTTTTTTATCGTAGACAGATATATTGTACCTTGGTTTATAAGTTTACAAAATTGCAGGTGTACATCTCTTATCGTAAAAAAGTAAATTGTTTTTAAAAAGTTTATTACAAGCTGTTTTTAGGTAAAAAAGACAAAAAATAAAAAATTTCACTTTTAATAGCCATTTTAAAGGGCTGATTAAATGAAAAATTATTTTATCTTAAGACCGACCTTGAAAAGAAAAATCTTTTGACTTACACAGTCAGGGTTGCCAGGTTGTTGAAAATAGAAATCGTCAAAATGGTTCTCGAAAATCGTCCTTTGTATTGGAAAATCGTCAACACACAAAATATTAAATTAAACAGTGTCCGGAAAAATTTTGGCAGCTGATTGTTATACGAAAACAAGTAAGAAAGTCTAAGTTCGGGTGGGGCCGAACATTAAATACCCGGCGCAAGTATTAAATATATGTTTTCCACCTTTCCGAAAGCTACCGCTACATGATAAGCGGGTGTATAAATATTAAGTAAACTAGCATCCTTAAATTTCGAAATATTGAAATTTCAAGCATTTCTGAAATTTACCGTTATATGAAAAGCGGCCGTAATTTTGGTCCGATTTCAATAATTTTCAACGGTTTTGCTTTTGCTAGAACGGTTAACGATATACATATATGCGATCATAAGTGGGTGGTGCCACGCCCATTTTCCAAAATTTTATCATAAGCGTATTTCCTGATAAAGAATTGTTGCAACCATCAATTTTGAATAAATTAGCTTTAATATTTACTGATTTATCGAGGATTTCGTATTTCTCGAAATTACCGTTATATGGGATGTGGGCGTGGTTATTGTCCGATTTTAAAAATTTTCGGCCATTTGGTATTTTCTAGCAAGGCTAACAACTGCGCCAAGTTTGAAAAAAATCTGTGCAGCGGTTACCAAAATATACACATGTAACTATAAGTGGGCGTGGCTACGCCCATTTTTCAAAAATTTTTAATATTCTTATTTCTCGTCTAAAAGTTATTCTAAATGTCAATTTTGAGTGAATTATCTTCAGTAGTTACTAAAATATCGCAGTTTTCGTATTTCTGAAAATTACCGTTATATGGGAGGTAGGCGTGGTTATTGTCCGATTTCGCCCATTTTCAATACCATCCGTCCTACGCCCAAAAGAAGTGCATGTACGAAGTTCCGTTAAGATATCTCAATTTTTACTCGAGTTATCGTGTACACAGACGGACGGACGAACGGACAGACAGTCACCGCTTAATCGATTTCTCTTTTCATTCTGATCATTTATGTATACATTTGTCTATATCTATCTCGATTCGTTTTGCCTGTTACAAACAACCGTTATGTGAACAAAGTTATAATACCCTTGTGCACAAGTGCGCTCGGGTATAAAAAAATAAATGTAAAAAACCTCTTACGAATTACTAAAATTCACATTACCTATAACATAAATATGTTTAATTGCATATAGATAAATAATATACATATTATCTAATGTACTAAGCCTTACTAACTAACTAAGGTGATAAAAAAAATGCCTGCTAAAAATATTTCTTTAACCCTTGTGTGTTGGGGGGTACTTGGGTATATAACCGACTTTTTAAAAGTGGATGTCCATATTTCCTTTTCCATTTTATTGAAATTTTTTTAGTCATTGCATATAAATGGTAAAGGAACTCTTTCCCAAAATCCTTAGAATTCAAAATAAAGACCTGAAATGGGAAGTTTGGTATCTTCTTTTAGAGTTCATATATATAAAAATCTTTTAGTTTGGGTTAAAGATTTTTGCGTTATAGGGTTAAACGCCCAATTATTACTTAGAAAAGTAAAAAAAAATCGAAAAATCGCTACTAAAAAAACTGGCAATGAAAAACTGCACACAATGAAAAAATCGTCATTTGCTTTTCGAAATCGTCAAATCGTCAAGACGGTTAAAACTCTTCCAAATGACGACCAAATCGTCAACCTGACAACACTGAGCACAGTGTGCAATTAACTAAAAAAAAATATTTTAAATACATTTTTTGGATTTTGCGACCAAGGAAATGGATTTTTTGATGCAAGAACAGCAAAAATATCTGTTAAAAAAGTACATTGCATACTGGTTTCAGGAAAAAATTAACATATTCAATACTTCAAGGTCGCTGGCGTGTAAACAGCCATAAAGCGTTGGCATTGGAGGAAAAAATACGAAAGAAAATTCGCGCTGGTATCAGGTTTCGATACGAGTATTTTTTATCGATACCTACTCAGTACTTGGTTTAAAAGTATCGATACCAAAATTACTTGTTATCGAACAAAAAGTATCGACTATGTACTTGTATTTACTCGTATCGTTTCATCCCTACATACATGCAAACATACTGGTCTTCCCTCTCACTGACTTATTCAAATACAAAATTTCTAACTATAAAAACTATAAAAATTAATTCTGCAATGTCACCAATTCACCAAAATTTGAAACTCCTTAATTAGAATCTTTAGAAAAAATTTAGTTTGCAGTTTTGTACCTCATTAAAATTGAGTGCTGCCATTTGCTTCTCTTTTAAAGAAGATGGTCGAACATACTTAGCTACTTTGTATGAAAAGATGCGTATGAAAAAGATCGTCAACAAAAAAAAATTTTCAAAAATTAACGGCAAGTCTTAGCGACTTCGCACCTTATTATACTAAAATTTAGGGATTTTTTTAACAAATTTTGCGAGGTAAAAATCTCGGGGAAAATTTCCTACAAATTTGTGATGTTACCACAAGGATGCTGTTTCAAGGATAATACATCTAGGATCATTGAAGAAGGTTTAAAGATCAGTAAGTTTTTGTGGAAAAAATTTGCAAAATTATTTTTTGTCCCGTATTCGGCTTCCATAAATATGGTCACAGTAACCATGCTCGACAGTATGCACCGGATCATGACTACCCCTTTTGTCTTATTACGTTTCAACTAAACATGCCAAATGTGAAAAAATCAGAGCATAAATACGGTTTTTCAAAATATTACCTTGTTTATACCGACACATAAAGCGCTGTGACACAGTTCGGTGTGATTCAAAACAGATGCATAAACAAAATTTCAATACGCGTTGAAATCGAAAAGTGTATTGACTCGAATTTGTTTTCAAATCGGTTTTTTATTTCTCACATCGGTTAGAACACCCGTATAAACAAATAATTAATTTAAGGTGAAATCAAAATTGTCTGTTTTTATACCCGAGCGCACTTGTGCACAAGGGTATATTAATTTTGTTCACATAACGGTTGCTTGTTTCAGCCAAAACGAATCGAGATACTCAGAATTAATAGAGTCTGTCCGTCCGTCTGTCCGTCTGTCCGTCCGCCGTGTACACGATAACTCGAGCAAAAATTGAGATATCTCGACGAAATTTGGTATGTAGGTTTCCGTTATTCCAAGGTAGGTTGGTATTGAAAATGGGCGAAATCGGACTGTAACCACGCCCACTTCCCATATAACGGTAATTTCGAGAAATACGAAAACTGCTATATTTTAGTAACTACTGAAGATAATTCACTCAAAATTGATATTTACAATAATTTTCAGACGAAAAATAAGAATATTATACATTTTTAGAAAATGGGTGTAGCCACGCCCACTTATGGTTACATGCGTATATCTTGGTAACCGCTGCACAGCTTTTTTCAAACTTGGCGCAGTTGTTAGCCTTGCTAGAAAATACCAAATGGCCGAAAATTTTTAAAATCGGACAATAACCACGCCCACATCCCATATAACGGTAATTTAGAGAAAAACCAAAACTGCGATATTTTAGCAACCACTGAAGATAATTTACTCAAAATTGATATTTACAATAATTTTCAGACGAAAAATAAGAATATTATAAATTTTTTGAAAATGGGCGTAGCCACGCCCACTTATGGTTACATGTGTATAACTTGGTAACCGCTCCACCAATTTCTTCCAAACTTGGCACAGTTGTTGGCCTCGGTACAACATACCAAATAACCTAAAATTTTTAAAATCGGACAATAACCACGCCCACATCCCTTATAACGATAATTTAGAAAAACACAAAATATTCGATAAATTAGTAAATTTTAAAGCTAATTTATTCAAAATTGATGCTTGCAACAATTCTTTACCAAGAAATACGTTTGTGATAAAATTTTGGAAAATGGGCGTGGCACCGCCAACTTATGATCACATATATGTACCTCGGTAACCGTTCTACCAATTTGTACCAAAATCGGTATGGTTATTGTGCTTGCCACATAAAAGCAAAACGTTGACAATTATTGAAACCGGACTAAAATTGAGGCCGCTTTTCATATGACGGTAAATTTTAGAAATGCTCGAACTTCAATATTTCGAAATTTAAGGACGCTAATTTACTCAAAATTGATACACCCCGGCTTACCAAGTAGCGGTAGCTTTCGGAAAGGTGAAAAACATATATTTAATATTTGCGCCGAGTATTTAATGTTCGGCTTCATCCGAACTTAGACTTTCTTACTTGTTTTCTTTATACAGCCCGTTTTTAATTGTATTTATTATTATAATAAATTTGTATTACTGTTGGCTTCCATTTCAGTCCACCACGCAAATTTATTATTAAATAAACGTCGAATAAAACTAACGGAGTTTTTTTTCTTTTCAATACGGTTTTATCGAGTTAGCTATAAAGACTGTGGACTAAACGTTAGAAAGAAATATGTTTAGAATCAAATCGGTTTTTTGTTAATGCGGTTTTTTCGTAGGTATAAACATGGTATATTTCGACCATAGCGCAACGTATATGCTATCTATGCACCGGTGGAGTGCAATAAGGCCATGGGCTTTATTTCCCAAGAAAACAAAAAAAAGGCGTGAGTACTAGGTACTCATGAAATTTGATGTGTAAACATATGCGAACGGCAAAGCATAAGAGTACGTTTACATATAAATATAATCTCAATCAAAGCTCGTTAGCTGTCAAATTGGTTGCGCTTGTTAATTTTATAATTATAATTTTGTATGGCTAATCTCTTTTTCTAATTACACATTAGGGAGTTGAGCTCGAAAATGTGGATAATCTTTTTATATGTAAAGCTATTATTAGGCGATTCAGTTTATTACATACACATGTATTAATTAATTAATTAATTAACATTAATTTTACTTAATTTTATTCATTTTTCTGATTTAATTTTTATAATTTATTTTCATTTTTAATTATTTTAATACATAAAATTATCGGTATGATTAATAAAATATGATACTTGTACATACCTGTGACTCAAGGGCGTTAAAATATCTTGAAAACCCCGCATCAATTACTGTTTTTGAGCTTATAGTTTGAGTATTTCTATTTGTACATATTCCTAAATTTAGGTTTTCTTTTCGGAATATAATCTGTGGTTCATGTAAATGAGAGCAATTTTCGGAGAGTGGTGTAGAGAAAGTTGCAAGATTTTACCCGATGCTTTTTTGTTCCTACTTTTTGCTATTACTCACTTTTTACTCTGACTTCAGAGAGTGATTTTGCTGTTTGACCTTTTCCAGGATTTTACACGAAAAGTATTGGATCAGAGCTATTATATCATCCATACATATGTATATTATACATATATTCAAATGATTTCAGTATTTTTTTAAATTTTCGCCTTGCTTTTTTATCAAACCTATTCCTAAAACCATTTACGAATATCAAAACCAGTTGCAACAAATGAGTTCATACATATGCATGCACATACATACCCTGCAGGAAATTGCGCTAGTTCAGAACTAGCGCAGAACTAGCTCATTAAGAGGCGGTACTGGTTCTCGATCTATCCCAACGCAATGCTTTCAACTGTCTCTTTTTACATGGCGATGTCCTACGAAGTGGAAATTGTCACCTCTGCAGAACTTTGGAACTAGTTCTGAACTGGTTCCATTTTCGACAGTTCTGGGCCAATAAGTTTTTTTTATGAGAAAACATTTTTAAACCAAATTACTGGATATTTTTTCTTTTCTGAACTTTTTCCGTTTTGGACAGATCTGCGACAATAGGTTTTTTATGAAAAAAAGTTTGATTATCAGATTTTTTGATATTTTTTTAATTGTTTCTGTTCTTTTACAGATTGCATTTTATTTATTTTTTTATTTTATTTATATTAAATTTGATCATTTTCTCTTAAATTTTTAAGCGGAACTCAACAATTTAAATTTATTAAATATCTGAAAATCACAACTGCCACCACCGCGATTTGAACTCGCGACCAACGAAGTTGGAGTCGGAGGTCTTCCCGCTAAGCTATTTTAGTATTGTACGAGAAGTGAGAATTTGTGCATTTACTTCTCAACAGAGCGCAACTACCACACCAAAAGTTTCAACTGTCCCTCTCTGCAGCCGTTTTGCACTAGTTCGGAGGTAGTTCTGAAATGTATAGAGCGGAACTAGCGCTTTAACGACTGTCTCTAAATTTTACTGCAGGGTAGGTACAAAGCCGTATGCATGTGAGGAGTTTGCATAATCGGAAGTAATAATCAATTGTACGCATTTCCTCTTACTATGCATATGCCTAAATGTATGCAGCCATTTACAATAGCAAGTAAACACAGGGTGCTTCTAATGACAATAAAAATTTTCTGCTGAAATACACATGCTAGCCCTTCGAAATTTTCTGCTGGGATTTGCGTTACAGCTTCGCTAATTTTACCCCTACCGAGACCAAAGATGTATACACATCAAAAACTTGTGGTTTTTTATATGTATTTTGATGTTGGTGGGAAACTGGGCTTGAACTCAGGCGCTGCATAATGCTCTACAGCAGCCGCCACTACTTTTACATACATTGCTGGTATATTCAAAATACTATCCCGAACATCGGAGTGTATATATGGAATATAAAAAAGAATGAGAGGTAAATTAAAAGATATAACTTAAGCGGTTACAGCGCTAAACAAAAGGAAAAATTAGAAAAAATAGCAATGCGGTTTGAAGGAAACATGAGACCATAAATTGTTTGTTTGATTCGTTAATTCTCTGAACCTTATAAGATATGACACTCCATTCTTTGCAGTAGCTTGCAAATATACACTAACTGGTCTATTCTGCGCTGGTAATGAAAATTTAGTAACCGGTAAATAAAGTTCCTGTCAATTCTTAAACCCTTTTCGCATTCTCTGTGCTCTTGTAACCGGTAAATTTTGGTGACAGGTAACAAGCTCAACGGAATAAGGTCAACCTTTTCAAAAGCGAAATAAAGTCAACAAAAATTTGGAAATAACGTCATTGACGCTATTTCCGCATTCAAATGGAAATAGCGTCAACAATGCTTCAAGTATGTCGATTCATAGAAATAAATTTTGTTCTTACAATAAACATAGCCCCGTAAGTGTTGTTTTTTAATAGATGAAAAAGGTTATTGCCAAATCCTCAGTGTGGTGCTATTAATCCACACACAATCATGAACTACCACCAATTGATTTCATTAAAAAATTTAAAATTACGAATATAGTAAAAACACGATGCGAAAAACCAAACGCAAAACGCAGCTGGATTACGAGAAATATTTGAAGAAAGAGTATAGAAATGATCCAGAACTTGCAAAACATGTTTCGTTTCCACAAAAATAAAGCGAACACTATTAAATTGAAGAAACAGTCCATGTCCAAAAACCCCGGAGGAACACTGAAAGAGTTCTGTGTTTTAAGTTAGCATATTTTGAACGAATTCGGAATGTCTAAGGTGGAAAAGAAGCCAACCTTTCTATAAGGAAACAATTATAGAAAAGGAATTTTCTTACACTGTATTCATGTCTCCGCCAGCAAAATGGGACATCATTTAAAAGCAGCTAAGGAGAACGACGACATTATTTATTAGATGGCACGTTCAACAAGCCAGTTTGCCAAAATCGGGTATAAACAATTATTGATTGTTTAATATCGGAACCGAGATCACTTTTGAAACACAAATTATATGCTTTTTTACTGCAGATAAGTTGTTTCCAAAACACAGCAGAAATCTTCCAATAACTTTCAAATATAAATATGTGAAATATCGAGGGCTTAAATTCATTAATACCCTCTATCTGCAATTTGCACAAAAACTAATTTGTGATTTTAGAAGCCATCTGGGACTTATTACCTGTCATCACTGATATATTACTTCTGATTTCCAATTTATAATAGTGTAAATTCTTCTATCAAGCGTTATATAAGGTAGCATTAATATCACCGATGACAGTTAAATCTTAAGTGGATTTTTATATCAGATATGCAGATAGAGGATATTATTGAACATAAGTCCTCGATATGTAAAATATACAAGTAATTTTTAGCAAAAAAAAACCGACTTCAACTCTCATATAAAAAAAATATATATGAAAAAAGATTCTGACGAACTGATAACCTCCTCCTTTTTTGGAAGTCGGTTAATAAAAAATTTATTTCAACGTACACAATGCTCGGAGGGAGAGGGGGAAGGAGGGCCGCAGCGTAGCGTGACGTGATGTGGCGTGCCGGGCGCCCCATAATTTTTATATGAAAAAAGGGGTATTCTCGAAGTCTTGCACGATGCACGGATTGCACGAAATGCAAATATGCTATTCCAAATTTCGAAGAGTACGAGAGCACCCCATTGCAAAGTGGTAGCATGAAGCGTAGCAAGCAGCGAAATTATATATCAAATACAATAAAAAGAGACAGCTAAAAAAAATGAAGTGAGCGAGATGAGGGGAATGAGAGAAATATGTACCAATTCCAACAACAAACAACTAGCACAGGGTCGCATTTATCTTGCTATGCTACTTTGCAAAATATATACATGGGCTTCGACGTTGCATATTTTGCAGAGATAGGAAATGTTCTTTCCCATGTAGTTTGTTGTTGTGTATTTGCAAGTTATGCAATCCATGCAATCCGTGCTACGTGCAGTGGCTTTGCAAGATTTAGGGAATACCTCTAATGTATTATATGCATCCCACTCGATATCACTGAATTCCTCATTGGAACATGTAGTCCCTTTATTTTAGCGTACCAACCGTTCATATGGCTTCATACCATGTAAATGCACGATTGAGAGAAATAGAGGTTGCGCCAATCACGGTACCGCTACTCCTCTCTCAGTCAATTTGACGGAATCGTTGTTTGTATGACGTCACACTTGTGCAACTTGTTTACGTTTTCCTTGCAACATTTTTTCTTCTTCTTCCATTCTTGCTCACGTTTTGGCATTTCTCTCTCGCAATTGCACCAGTGTGACGTCACACAAAAGTTATTCTCAAAAATCCTCTCTGATAGGCGCAATCTTGTATTCTATAATTCTTGATGTAAATGCACCATAACCCTTCCTTTGCGCTGTATTCCGTAAGAATTAACAGCAGAGGGCGCTTTCAGCGCTATTATGTGGGCATGTATGTTAGATTCGTAGGATCTTTAAAGTCTTGCAGTTCCATTTTTAGGGAAGTATTTAAACTTTTTTTGCCTCAGACAATGGGAAGCCCATCCAGAACCTATAACCGAAATTTCAAAAAAATCGGTACAGCCGATCTCGAGCTTTGCGAACAGAAAGCGACGGCTTTCAAAATATATATTAGTATAGATATAAA